CTCTGATCATGGGTCATGTTCAAACTGACAGTGAATATGTGACTCAGGTCAAAAAACAAGGAAAGCCTGCAACAGAATTTCTGGGACTCGTACTGCAGATAGAAGTGTGTCAGCAGGGCTGGCTTCCCTTTCTTTTTCTTCCTTCCTTACAGACTGTGGGACCTCAGAAACATGATGACCGTCCATAAAATAGGTCCACATGCTCTTCTGGAGATATGGTTAAGGTGAGCAAGTCAGGGATCATACTTGGGAAAATGGGAAGTCATGTCGACACTGAGTCCTGGGTGACAGCAAGTATTGCTAACAGCGTCTGCACTGTGGGTCTCATTCTTCCATGCTCCTATGGTGCTGGGGATGTGGCTCAGTGCTAGAGCACTTCCCTAGATGTAGGAGACCCTGGGTAGAGCACGGGGGTGGACAAATTCTCTCTTTGTCAGCTCTGAACCTGCCTTGGACCTAGCCCTTCTGGCCTTCTTGGATAAGTGTCCCCTCTGTAGATTCTTTGAGGGATATCTGATGATGTCTGCTCTGTCCTGCTCCTGGTGAGCTGGAAGCCCAAGCAGGGAGCCTCTTTCCCCTGCTGTGCTGAGATCTCCAGATGAGGCAGAACTGAGGCTGTCTGCACAGCCTTCCCAGGGCAGTGGGATTCCCTGCCTCTGCTTTAGGAGGGAATACAGGGGTCAGGACTACATGTTTCTTCATGTGTCGGGTTAAAGCACTCCCACACAGCACACAAACCCTTCTCCCCGCTGCAGCTACTCCCTCATCAACCCCTCCCAAAAGAGGAACGGTTCAGGATTTCTGGCCTCTTGTGGGCTCTGCCCACCCCTTAAAATTCTTCCTTTTCCCTCCCTATTGAGATTATTACACAAACCTCCATTTGCTGGCTTGCACAGTCCTTAGAGCCATGGATGTCCTATTTCCTAGTGTGTGCATCTCTCTACTACAAATGCCCCCTACACCCAGGTCTTTCACACCACCAGGGAACTTGGCACAAACTTGTTGCAGCCCAAAGATAGTAACTAGGGCTAGTTGTGCAGCCTCTTTCTTTGGGGACCAATGAGGGTCCCACAGGTACCCCACTTCTATAGCAGGGAGACCACAGAGGCTGTCCATGGAGACACTGTGGGGACCAGAGCAGCTTGAATCATCCAAGTGGGAAAGAACTGACTGTCGGGCCATAAGGGAAATGACAAACAAAGCAGAGACTACAAGCACCGGGAAAGGCTCTGCTGCCCAGAGACATAACAAAGGGAAATAAATAGCCAGATAGTTAGTAACCATGGAGACCTGTGGGAAAGAGGCTGAGATGCATTGCTTCCTGGAGCTGATTGGTTGGGCCCCAGAGGGTGGGTGTATGTCTGTATCTGTCTTATTCTTCACCTAGATACACGAGACAGAGCTGCCATAGTTCCTATCCACCACATGCTGAGACACCAGGTGAGGCCCAGAGGGCACAAGCCTGCCACCCACGGCTCTGCCTCCTCTCCTTGACAATCCCCTGTCTTCTGCAGCCTCAGATTCCACACAGAGCCTGACATAGAATAGGGCCTCAGTGCCAGGTTGTGGGACACCCCAACCCCTTGGCTCTTTGTATCTGAGCAGGCAGCCTTTGTCCCCTGTCCACTTTAGTAGCAGCACCCCAGAGCCAGCTTTACTGACCAGGCCCCAAGAACAGCCTTATGCCCCTGCCCTCCTCCATCTCTTTGTTTCCTCCATTTCCCAGTGGAGGGGGCACCCATTCCAGACTCTTCCCCTCTAGGATCCCTGGTCATGTCAGAAGAATCCTGTCATCTAGGCTGAGCAGCTTGGTGATCCCAGTGAGAGTGAGTCTCTCTCATTCTTCAGAAGATCCACCTCACCAACCACAACTTGAAATTCCAGTCTCTTCTCACAGAGTGTGGGCATAAAATGGGTTCATACTCTAGGGCTGTGCTGAAGACAAGCAAGTGGGGGAACTAAAAACTATGCCCAACTTACAGAGGAGTTTTCTGACTGGATTTGAGCGGGACCCAGGTCTCAGGAGGGTGGCTTCCATTCCTGGTTGTGTCTTTGAAAACCTGACAAAGGTCAAAATTCAAAGGGAAAGAGAAAGCCGCCTCCTCTGAGCAGCTCAGATCCACCTGAGGACCCAGACTCAGGTCCTGAGCTCCACATCCACCCACATTCTTGTTCACCTTCTTAGAGGACCAACCTCAGTCTGACTTCCTAGGTTCTTCTATGTACACCCATGTTGTTTGTATGTACTCCATGGTCTTTAAGATAGAAAATCTGCCACTTCAGCCCTAGGGACCTTCCAGAGGTCACTTTCTACAGCTCCTTGGTTCTGATCAGCCCATCCTCTCGCCAAGGACACCAGCTCTGCTCAGCCCTCACGTGGTCCTGGGCTCTGGAGTGGATGGTGCTGACAGTGTCTGCTGAAGTTCGTGAGCATGGCATTTGGAATCTGTAATTTACATAGAGCTTCCTGCACTGCTTCCTCCTAGAATGTCCCAGCATCCTCTATGGCAGGGTCCTCTACCTCATGTCTTACACTCATGGCATCTTTGATGCGCGGACCAAAGTCCTCTGCTCTATCAGAAAACATAAGCTGGAAGGCTGTGTGGCATCTCTGCTTTGTTACAGAGAAAGGGACTGAGAGGACCTGGACACCAGGTGCCAGGTCTCTTGGGCCTGTTTCATCATAGACAAATGTCACTGGGGGGGATGGCCATGTCTTCATAGCTTGAGGAGAGAGAACAGGTGACTATTTGGGACCCATACACTACAGTTAACAACACACTTATTCACCATTTGGAGTTTTATAATCATTCCTTAAGATACCAATCTTATCTCATATTTTCAAATCACTGTGTAACTATCACATGTTCTATGTGGCTATGCTGTGATTTTGCGGAAGGGGAGACTACGTTGAGGAACAAGCTTTCATTCCACATCTCAGAGCCTGAGCCCAGAGTCGAGCCAAGATGGAGCCTATGAGACTCATGTAAACATGCTTCCAGGTAAAATGTGATTTGTGGACAATAAAAAGATCTTTTTCTTACTCTTGACTCCTCCTCTTTCATCAGCATGACTCTAGCTTGGAATAGAAAAACACAGCGAGACGCAGGAGCATGTAAATGTCCCCTGAGCCACAGGCCATCATGGTGCAAATCCCTTGATCAGGCTGAGGAATGGGCTGGAACATTCACAGAAATCTAACGGTCAGGATGGGGCTACAGATTCTTACAACAGGGGTCAGGACACCCCCATCCCTCCTTCTCTAACTCCAAGGACACAAGAAGAGTCCATGCCACCCAGAGTTCTGGCAATCTGCTAGGGAACTGCTCAACATGAGCGGTGTTACCTCAAGAACATCATGCAAATATCTGCCACTTGAGAGTTGATGAGTCTGCCAATGTCTTTGGTCAAAGGAAATGTCAACCAACGGAAATGTGATCCCAATCCAGTGGCTGCTCTTCTAATTCTGCTTCAAGTTACTATTAGCTTTACCAAGTGGAGGGTGAAGGGGTCAGCACCAAGGGGCTGGTCACCATGGTCGCTTCAGCATAGCCCACAACCTAGAGAAGGGGTGTGGCTAAGCTGGACATCTGAGCGATCACGAGAGACAAAACCTCCAAGAGCTGCAAATCACAGGGAAGGAAAATGCATGCTGTGCTGACAGTCATTCTGAACCAGTCCAGATCATCAGTAGAAGAAAAATCCTCAAGCTATCAAAGGTTCTAAAAATGTGTTTCTTATTCTTGTGTCTCTGAGTTGATTCATGACACTTCAGATCCATGAGATTGTTGCCCAAAGGCAAATTGAAGTAAGGAGACCAATGCCTAGAGGAACCAGTGGGCCAACATTAGACAGTCTCAAAGTGTTAGATCCAGCTTGGCCTGACTACAGTCATGTGAGTCTAAGCATCAAGAGTGGCCATGAGAAACTCTAAGCTGCTGCCCCTACATGGCCTGTCACTGCAGTGGCATGTGGGCTTTCAAGGGGACTGCAGGGCTGTCTGTGTTAGAGACACACCTAGCATCCTTGATGTTAGCTGAGGCCAGAATTGTCACTAATGTATGTCACCAGTATCTTGCTTACCATACATAACTCCTCTCTCTGAGCCCTGTATCATCCCACCAAGCTTCCATCTTCCCTCTATTTGGCATTGAGCATAGCTCTCCACCAATGATAACAACATATTATCTTTACCCTGCCCTTTTCTTTGTTCCCATGCCATCTTCTTCTGTTATAATTGACTGCTTTTTACTCAGATTTTCTAGACCAGGAGGTTAATATGTACTGAGCACAAATCTATAAATATAAGAGAACAAGAGCCTGTTGATCTGAGATACCATCTTGTCCAGGACTCTTCCCCCCAGAGTGAGAAGAAACTGAGGGTCACCAGCTGAGTCTCTTGTCACAAACTGTGAACTTCATCCCCCAAACCATAAGTTGCTTGACTTCCCATGTAAATCTACCTTGATTCTCTATGCCCAAACCCACCACTGAAACATCACAGCACACAGACATTCACTTTGATGTCATTGGTCTCTCAGGTAACCACGTTCCCTTTGAGGCCTGGTTCCTTGTCAAGAAATCGAACAACTTTTTTATCACCACCCCATCTCAATATCATCTTCATCATCATCTGTTGAAAGGTCACTGCCTGGAGGACACATGGGTGAGCTGATCCTACTGCTGCTGAGAGGAATAATCCAGGGTCATAGGATACTTCCCTCGGGGGAGGGGATCCTGGCCACCATTATGACTTCTCCATATATAGAATTCTAACTCTGACTTTCTCCCATTATCTGCTCTCCTGGTTTCCTGCCTTCTCATTGCTTGTTCTTGTGTAGCCCTCCCTACTCACACCCACCATGTTTAAGTCCCATTCCCACTCTTTAGGTTGGAAAGACTGGGGTACCTTGTTTAGACTCCAATTTCTGTCTTCTATTGAGTCACTGTCTGCATTGATCTCGCTGTGCCCAGTCACAGAAATACAAACACCTCAATACTCAGTTCCAAAGACTTTATTTCTCGTGCTTTCCTTTGTAAAGTATACCTTCACCCCCCCCCATTGATGCCATCTTTCCTGCATTTTTAGCTTCTTGGGGGAGATGTCACTGAGGCAGATCTCACTGCAGAGCCTTGTGAATCTTCTCAAATTCCTGCAACTTTCTCTCCAGCATGAGAGCCAGTTTCCTCAGTGCTGCAGCCGACTTTGTAGTTGCCCCATTGTACAAATCTATTGAATCTGTCACGAGATGATACACATCCAATGCAAGGAAGAGACTGGTAACGCTTATTCCTTTAATACTGGCTCTTAATGCATTCCCCAACTCCCTTGAACCTTCAGCAGAGCTGCTCTCTGCAAATTGTCCTAGTGGGCGATAACCAGCTCTGGACATCCTGGTGGCCCTGATTAGATCCTTGAGGCTTTTACAGGCACTCACTAAATCCACACCCGTATTACTAAGTTTGACTGTGATCTTAGGCATAATTTTCATAAGCTCATGGAATGTGTTCATGCTGGCTCCAACTAGACGACTGGCTTCGGATTCATCTGAGAGCCGGTTTGACTCTTCCACGATGGTGGTTGTGAGGCTAGTCATACCTGCTACCAGCCCCAAGGAAGTTGCTGAGAGCATCAGGCTGGTTCCTCCTGTAATGGGTGTCAGAACTAGACCCAGGATGCCCAGGACTCCAGAGACAGTGCTGGTGGATTCGGCCACCACATTGGAGATGGTGCAGCCACTGTGAACTTTATCAAGATGGTCAGCCAGGGAGCGAAGCTTCTGGATGTGTTCTTCAAGTTTGATTTTCAACTGAGGAAATTCTTTCAAAAACCTCTTTTTCTTCAGCTCCTCTTCAGCCCTCTCATTTTTATCTGTGGGATTCCGAGCTAAATGCTTCTTCAGCGCATCATGCAGGGCAGCTTCCTCCTCGCTGTGACAGAAGAGGAAAAGAACATGAGGGAAACGGGCTTTGTATTTTTTTAAAAAAAAACTAAACTCTTGTTCAAAATATACTTTCATAGTACAAACACAATAGGAAATGATTTTACAGAGTCCATAATTGTGCTATCTGCCATGAGCCTTGGGTACAATTTATATATCCATGGACTTTAGTCTACAGGTCAGTGTAAAGTTGAACCATGGCACTGTAGCGACAGACTCTTTAAAATGCCTCCCTTCAAGGCCACTGTCATCGCTACCTGTAGGGACTGTGTAGATGAGCACAGGGAAGTGAGGTTAGAGCAAATACACTTTAACTCAGAGAACTGTGTGTGTTGTGAGGGAGCCCTGTTTCCCAGGAGTCGCCTCTCTGCACTCAGCTGCTGGGAAGTCATCTGCAGCCCATGCAGTACCCAGTCTGCAGGAATGCCTGTGCTGGCCTGGGGAGTTCTGCAAGGGACACACAGTGCAAGCCAAGAGTGGATTCCTCAATCTTAAAGGCTCCCAAACCTGAACAGTCAAAAGCACCCTCTGGCCTCATGGGACAGTCACGGTGACAGCACAGTCGCTGCAGAAGCTTTGCATAAAACTCCCCCCTCTCCAGTACAGTGTCAGCAGTAACGGTAGATTTGGGGCCCATCTGTAAGAACCTTCACCCATTATCTGCAAATATGTCTAAGTGGGAAACTGCAGGATCTAAGATATTCCTGTTCTCAAGAATTACCTGTAGAAATGCTCAACCTGAAAGATGTGGGGTGTGGTGGGGACTTTGGAGCCATGTCTGACCCCTGGAGGCACTGGAGTACAAAGGCATTGACATTAGGAAGATTCCCATGAGGCCTGTGTCACTGAATTGATCTGTTGTTGGTTTCCCTGTAAAGGATCTGCCGTCCTGCCCTCCTGACCTGTGTCTGTAAGTCCCCAGCTCCCTGTGTGTAGAGTGGCTCCACCTCTGTTCCCCTAGGGCAACAGTCTTGATCAGTGTCCTTTGGCTGCCGGCCTCTGGTTCAGGATGAAGATTCTTTCCTAGCGTGGGCTGCCTGGTGTAGAGTAGTCATGTGATTCTTTTGTACACTCAATGAAGGACAACGCTGTGTCCTGAGGACAATAAGCTTCAGGGATTGAATGTCTCCTTGATTTGGCTTCTGTGTGTTTGCACTGCTGATGTAAACCTTCTGGTTCCATAGTCAGCTGTACTACCCACCTGACATTTGAGTTCTATGGGCCATTCTAGATGATTCCTAATCCTATAGTGGGTTTAGCAGAGTCTTTTATCAACAGCTGGTGTCAAAAGGAAAGAAGACTCACTGGGACCCTTTCCTCAGACTTTACTATTTAGCTATATTTGAGAATTTAAAAGTAAATCAAAACAAATAAAACCCCCAGAGCCATGAGATCCCCCCCATCCTTTGTCCTGCTGTCTGCTCTGCAGATGCCCAAAGTCCTTTCGCTCCATAGCTGGAGTCACAAGGTAGTGCCTGAGAGCAGAAGAGAAGCCACTAACACAGGCTACACTCTTTGGGAAGGGCGGTGGCACTTGGTTTTCTTTTCCTGACCGGTTGTTCCTCCCAGGCTGTCACCCAGCTCTGTGCAGCTGCACTGTGGACTCTCTGCCTCCTCAGCTGACAGGAGGATCCTGCTGTTGTTACAGCTCCTCAGGTGGAAGGGGAGTGACCGAGACAGAACCTGAGGACAGGGCTGATCATGTCTAGACTTTTCTGACTTGTCTCAAGATAAGCTTTTGAGTTCTCAGTCCTACAGGAGATCCCCGAACTTGATCTCTTCCCATTTTATAGTTGGCTTTCAATGCTAACTTTCAGGGGCACCCACTGTGTACTAATCACATGCTGAGAACTCCACACACATGATCTTATTTTTTCATACTACAGTTTTATGGTGGTGAAACTCAGGAAGTAGTAACTGATTTGCTAAGGTTGCATAACTAATAGATGGCAGAAACAGTCCTGGCACCCTGGGCAACATCTTCAGTCACCCTGAGGTGATTTCCATCAAGGAAGCTCTTGGATGGTTGAGAATGTTGAGAAGAAGGACCCATAACCCCACCCCCTGGGACTTCCTAGAGTGGGTATGACTGCCCAGGGAAAAAACCCCCATCGTCATGGTCGGTGGACAATTCCGGGTGCACCATGCAGGTAACCTTGACAACTCTGCTGTCTTCACAAATGCCTTCCAGGCTCCGTCTTCAGTTATCAGACGCTCCAGATCCACTCTGCTGAGTGTGTCCGTGAGATAATCCACAATTTCTTCCACGATGCGACTTGTCACTTATTCAAGAAAAAGAATGAGGTTAGAAGACAGTATGACAGAGATTTAAGGGCAAGTACCAGGAGCTGGTGAGATATCAAGTTCTCATGCATTTGTCAATGGATCCTAATGGGATTTCCAGGGTTGGTGATTCAATGATATCTCCCAAATTCATATGTTAAAAGCTCTTAGGATTAGCAACTGTATTTGGTGACAAAATCATTAAGGAAGTAAAGTCATGAGATCAAATGATGCCATAAATATAGAGTGCTATTCATTGGGACTGGAGGCCTCATGACAAGGATTACTAGAGATCTATTATCTATCATCTACCATCACTATGTTATCTGTCATATCTATGCCTATGTCTCTCTTCCTCTGCATCTCTTCTATGAAGAAGGATGCTTTAAAGAAATCCCACACTAGCTCAGAATTGAGAAATAGGTGGTTATTTATTGAGGGGTAGACTCACAAATCAGAATCCTCTGATTTAAGGGAGATCAGAAACCAAATCCCACAGCCAGAAAACAGAGAGACCATACACATGCTCTACATCAGCATATATAGTATAAGAGGCCAAGCCCCAGTGGGCCGGTAACCACTGGCTGTAAGACTTCCTACAGCACTTCTACTCTGATCCTGCTCTACAAAAACAAAGGAGACACTATGTGCAGACATCAGGACCCTGTTTCCTGTGCACACCTCCAAGAGGGTGTTTGCTGGGACCCACTTTCCATATGTTCATCATAGGCTTTGCTTTCCAAGACTGAGTGAAACCACGGGTCTGTAGTTGAAGTTTCTTATTCCATCCACCATGAACCTCTTACATGTCAAACATTGTGGTACCAGTGCCTTCACATGTGACTTTCAAGTCATTAGAGGAATCTTCAATGTTTCATTGTGACAATAATGATATTTTCAAAGGAAATGGAATTAACATCAGTGTATTCTGAACATGGACGAGCTCAGGGCTCCTGGAAACCAAGACATCCTCAAGCCCTTGACTCTTGAATATTTCCTGTCTCTAAAGCCAGGACCACATAGACAACACTTCCCGGTTTGACTGCCAACTTGGCATAGACCCTTGTCACAGTCATTCATGCCATAAACAGCTTTGTACATGGAAGCAATGGCATTCCAGGAGCAAGAACGCTCTGGGCTTTCTCCATTCTCAAGCTGAAGCTTGCTGTCTGGGGCCTTGCATGGAATGCATCCTCCCACTGTCCCACCTCAGAACAGGAGCCTCCCCTCAGTGCCCTTATATCCTTGACAGTCACAGTCATCCTGGGACACTGAGCTTTCTAGTGCTCTTTTCTCTGCAAATGAAAAACGCTGAATGCTTGTCATTTCTTATTGTCCCAATTGCTCTTTTCATTGTAGGCCTACATAAGGAGTCACCATTAGTAACCATCCACAGACTCAAAATTATGCGCTATTGACCTTTTCCTCACCAAAAAATCCTGACTGATCTAGAACTCACTGTGAGGACCAGTCTGGTCCCAAGTTCACAGGGATCCACCTACTTCATCATGTCAAGTTCTAGGAGTAAGGCAGGGCAGTAATGTCTAAAAGCCTACACATAGGGTTGAACTTCCTCCAGTAAGCCTCTATATCCTAAGACTTCCCTAACCTCCAGAAATCATATCAACAACTAGAGACCAAGTGTTAAAATGCATGAGCCTCTGAGATATTATAGAATCAAGACAGCACACTTATGCACACACTTATATGCTTCAATTCCTTTTCCACTGGAACACTTGTCATCTGGAAGCAGCCGGAAAAGAAATAGACTACCTGATACCGCCATGAGGATGTTCTGGGTCTGAGCACAAGGATTTCTGACAGGTTTTCCTTAAGGCTCTTCTGGTGGCTAGGCTGGAAGGAGAGGAAAGAAGAAACTGTAAGATGTAATGGAGACAGATGCAGGGAAGGTAAGGTTGGAGGGGCCAGAGACCCAATGGTTCCTTCGGAGTGGCAGTAATGGACCAAAGGACTGACAGCCATAATGCTTCTCCTCCGGTGGGTTCTACACTGCTACTTACAGATACCAGTCATCTGGTCTACCTTCTCCCCTCATCCTGGCCAAGACAGCCTTCCAGTCCTGTCAGAGTCCAAGGAGAATGTCACCAGCTAGAGACATAGCCATGAAGAAAAGCAATATACAGTCTATACATAGGAGAAATGGGAAAGGATGTTCTGCCAACTCTTTGGTGGAAACATATGTGAATTAATGTTAATAGAAAAAATTTACTGTATGTTTGTGATACACAAGGCTCCTCATACACACCTCATTAGAGGACCACCATCCTCTATGAGATGAGGACTCTTGTGAGCCCCATTTTAAAGTGGAGGGAAGAACATAAGGGTTTGCTGGAACAGGGTTTGACCCCAAGTTGTTCTTATTGGTACCCCATCTTTTAGGTATGACTCTCCACTCTCTAAGGCACCCATCAGCATTTCACCCCCTCCCCATGTGACTATGAATGGCTTCTCACCTACATCAGGGCCTGTGCCCTTGAATGGTTAAATTCACAGATGCTGCCCTGTTCTCCCAAAGTTCACATCCTCTTTGTTCTGCAGGATCCTGAACCCAACCAGGGCTGGAGTTCCTGTTAGTCCCTGTCCTTGTCCCTGCTCTAGCCCGTCCAGTGCTCTGTCGTCCTTCTTAAATGTTCAACCTTAGGTAACTTCTAATAACCAAGTGAAACGAACACTCTCTTGAATACAATTTCTGCACTGTGGATTACATTCTTTAAGATATCTTTTTTATTTTTTTAAAAAAGATTTATTTATTTATTTATTAAGAATACAGTGTTCTATCTGTATTATTTCTGGCCAGAAGAGGGCACTAAATCTCATTACAGATGGTTGTGAGCCACCATGCGGTTGGTTGCTGGGAATTGAACTCAGGACCTCTGGAAGAGCAGTCAGTACTCTTAACCTCTGAGCCATCTCTCCAGCCCCTCTTTAAGATATTTCTAGAAGAAACATGAGTAGATCACAGAGCTTCAATTTAAAGTTTTCATAGCCTGGGGCTCAATGTTGCATCAATAATGTGTGAGAAGCCGCATTCCCACAGGCAATGCACAAGGGTGGGCCTTCTCCCTAGGCGACTAGTGTATAGTAGCCTTAAATAAACAGGATATCTGATTGCACGTGGGGTAACGTCAGCACTGGAGAGGCTGAGGCAGGATGTCTGCTGGCAGTTCAAGTACAGCTGAGGCTTCACACTGAGATCCTAGTTTTAACTCAGTACAAACATCACTGGTGTCTGTGTCTAAGGCTACATTTTGGTGATGAAAAGCCCCTCAGTGTGTATGAGGCCCCAGGAACAATTCCTAGTGCCACAAGTGGTCAGGATAACCAGATCCTCTCTGTAGGCTTGCCCAGTCACTCCCAGCCCCGGAAGACCTATAACTAAGGGCACTTCTCTGCATTACACTTGCCACCTAACCCAGCCTCATTCCACCTCCAGGACCAGTGGGCTTGGCATGATGCTGGTAGCAGCCCCATGCTGGTAACCAGGACCAACTAACTGTACAACCTCTTTCTCTAGGGCCCAGCTAGGGTCCTACAGCCTCCCCACCTCTATAGCATAGAGACAGCAAAGTGTGTTCATGGAGACCGTGAGGGGTCAGACAAGACAACAATAAGGAAGTAGACAGACAAACCAGAGTCTACAAGCACTAGGATTTTTCTGTTGCCTTGAGACAGAACAAGGACAGAAAGTGAAGACTCCAGGCATAAGAAAATAAAAATGTAAAAATAAAGAAATATAAAGTCATAAGTCTAGGAGAATAAGAACAGACTATCAGCAGCTTTCTCAGCAGATCGAGGATCATTCATTCACAGTGAATGAATTTTTCTCAGATGCTTGGGATGCATAGGTAATTTTACAACTGGCTGTTTTATTTACAAGGCCAGAGTGTCTCTCTACAAATTAAGAGCAGTGTCCTGACCATCCTTGATAAATGGCAGATGTAAACTGAGTTTAACCTTTAGGAGACAGAGATATGTGACCTCTGGGTCAGACACTGTCTCTGTTATGGGAAACTGGCACCACCAGAGGAGAGGCATGACCTCAGTTTGCACCCGGAGGTACCAGGAGACAGTAGATAAATAAGAAGGTTTAATTAATGAGCTCTGATAATGGAGGTTATAAAGTATGGCAGTCAGTATCTGAAGATTTACCTGAAAACAGTGTGAAAGGTTTTTCCTCCTAAATTCTCAGCCCAGGAACCAGTTAATTCCAAATTCCTCCTTGACATTAGCACTCACTCCCCTCCCTAGGGTCTCCGCTGATCAGCCCAAGGGTCAGGGCAAGGTTGTAAAAATTCTTTTACCCAGACCTAATGCTTGCTGTCCTAACTATAAAAGGCAGGGTCAAAAAACCGGCCTTTTGCCACAGCCTAACAAACACCATCTCTGGCTGTGGTCTCAGCTAGCTGATAAGCTTCTGTGCCCCGCGGTGTCTTATTTTTATTTCTTATTTTTAAGTTTGCTTATGGTTATCCTAGGATCTGGTTTCTGGAATAAAGTTTGCTTCTGGTTTATTAGACTTGGTGGTGTTCTCATCTTTGCGCGACCCCCCTGGACCCAACAGAGTGTGACCAGGTAGTAAGCAACCATGGAGACCTACGGGACAGAGGCTGATACACATGGTTTCCTCAAGCTTGTTGGTTGGACCCCAGAAAGTGGGTGTATGTCCATGTCTGTCTATTCTTCACCCAGATACATAAGGCAGAGTCTGCCATTCCACAATGGAGTGGGCATCCACACCAGACACCTTCCTTTTGAGGTGCCCTGTCACGTTCCAAGAATTCTATCATCCAAAGTGAGCCATTGAAGATCAGTGGTCCCATTTGATGCCTTCTCCAGTCTTTCCTGTGCTAAGGAAGAACAACCAGACCCAACCCGGCTGTGAGTCCAGATCTACTGCCCCTGAGTACCTCTATAAAATGGTCCACAGCTTCCTCTAGAGCTGCAGTGGAGATGAGCAGTGTGGGAACTGCACACCTTCCCACACTTACTGAGGAGTCTTCTGGATGAATTTGAGCAGGACTCAGGTTCACAGGAGTGTGGGTGTTGCCCCTGAGTGTGTCTGTGACAACCTGACAAAGGCTAGAACTCAAAGTGGTCTGCTGAAGTCGGTGAGCAGGCCCTTGGAATCTAACTTTACATTGACCCATCATGAATTGCTTCCCCTTAGAAGTTCCCAGCATCCTCTATGGCAAAGTCCACTACCTCATGTCTTACTCTCATGGCTCCTTTCATGGAGGGGCCAAAGCCTTCTGCTCTACCAGAGACCTGCAGCTGGAAGGCTGTGGGGATTTGTTGCTTTGTCTCAGGAGAAGGGACTGAGAGGAGCCGGGCACTGGGGCCAACATAACCCTCTCTTCTGGGGCCTATTTCACCATGATGAATGTCACTGGGGCTGGATGGCCATGTCCTCACATTTTTGAAGGAGGGAGATAGGTGATTTCTCAGGACCCAAACACTACAGTTTGCAACACATTTATCTCACCATTTTATTAGAGTTTAGTAATAATTCACTAAAATATGTATCTTTCTCCAATTTACAATTCAGTGTGAAAGTTACTACATATGCTATGGGGCTATGCTGTGATTTTGCAGTCAGGAGCGAGCCATTAGTTTTGATCCCACAACTTAGAGACTGAGCCAAGAGTCAAGCCAAGATCAAGCCTTAGACACAATGCTTAGACCACGCTTCCTTGTAGAGACTCATTTTTGCCATTAAAAGACTTTTCATTTATTTATTTATTTTGCTTTCTTTTTTGAGGCTTTTAAAAATTTATTAGGTTTTTAAAAATACCAACCCAAGTTCTCACTCCCTTCCTTCCTCCCATTCCTTCCACACACCCTCCCATCCCACTCCCATTCAATCGTCAGAGACTGTAAGGCACATTGCTTTGTAGGAGGTCCAAGGCCCTCCCTACTCTATCTAGGCTGAGCAAGGTATATACCCAAAGAGACTAGGTTCTTAAAAAACCAGTACATGCAGTAGAGATAAATCCTGGTGCCATTGCTGTGGCCCCCTCAGTCTGCCCCAGCCATACAATTGTCAACCGCATTCAGAGGGACTAGTTTGGTCCTATGTTTGTTCTTTCCAGTCCATCTGGAGTTGGTGAGCTCCCATTAGCTCAGGTAGACTGTTTCAGTGGGTGTCCCCATCATGAGGAATATTTGAGGGAATGAGATAGTTGAGATGGAGGAAAGACAGAGATGAGAGCTAGGAAAGAGATACCTTGATGGAGGGAGCCATTATGGGGTGAGCAGAATCTAGAGAAATTCCCAAGGATCCACAAGGATGACTCAGCTAAGACCCTAAGCAATAGAGGAGAGGGGGCCCAATCTTGACTTGCCCTGTAGTCAGACTGATGATTATCTTAAATATCACCATAGAACCTTCATCCAGCAACTGATGGAAACAGAAGCAGAGACCTGCTTCGGAACACTGGACTGAGCTCCCAAAGTCTAGTTGAAGACTGGGAGGACTGAGAATATGAGCAAAGAGGTAAAAAAAAATCTTTTCTTTCTCTTGATACTTCCTCTTTCATCATCATGACTTTAGCTTGGAAGAGAAAATCACAGTGACAGGCAGGACCATGTAAATGCCCCCTGAGTCATAGGTCAGCTATGATGGGGATTCCTTGATCAGTCTGAGGAATGGGCTGTAATGTTCACAGACCCTTGATCAATCAGGATGGGGTCACAAACTCTTACAGCAGGGGATGGGATACCCCATATCTCCCCACCTCTAACTCCAGAAACACAAGCAGATCCCACCTCACCTGGAGACCCTGATGCTCTGCTAGGGAACTGCTCAGCATGAACAGTGACACCCCATGACAGTCATGCAAATGGCTGCCACCTCAGAGTTGGTGACTCTGCTAATACACTTGGTCCAGAGGAATCTCCAGCCAGTGGGAATGTGATTGTTGTAATTTAGACAAACTCAGCATGCAAGAGAAAGATGCCATGCGACAGAGTTCATGGGGAGGGCATTTTAATAGGGGAAAGGGAACGTAAAAGGAGAAAAGGGGATGGGGAGACAGGTCTCAGGGGACAGGAGGAGCAGAAGAAAAGCTTCCGGGCTGCTTGAGTAAAATTATTTCCCTTCTCAGATCTTTGATGGAGTTGAAGATTAGATAGTTGTAGTTACCATCTACATTATTTAGACTCCCTGAGACAGAATGTTTTGCAGAACTTTTGTTATATGTTTCTTGCTTAACATTGTTTGTTGTTTGTAACTTTATATTTATTATTTGCTTCTATTGTATATAGTTGTATTTGGTTTGGTTCTGTCTTATTTTAGAAAAAAGGGGGAGATGATAGGGGAGTTCAGCCAATCACATTCTGTTTTGGGGGTGTGCTGCCCTTAGGCTAAAGCCTGCCTATAAACCTGCAGGTGCGTTTCTGATAGTTCCTTTTTCGCCTTGGTCCTGCGTCCGGACGGATCGTTTGGATTCTGGTGTAAGCTGTTGTAAGTCTTACTTCTGTTTATTAAAGCTGTATATTTTGTATCAAAAAAAAAAAGAGAGAGAGAAGAGAGAAAGGAAGAGATGGAAATGAAGACAGAAGGAGAGGGGGGGGCAGGGCCATTTTAAAAGGGAACATGGTGAATGTGCACAGATGATTCTCTTTGTGGCTACAGCTGACAAAGTAGACCACAAGGTCGGAGCAGCACAGATGCCCGAATGCTATAAATGATCACAGTTCAATTGGAGATGTCAGAATCTTGGTTTTTCGAGACAGGGTTTTGCTGTAGTTTTAGAGCCTGTACTGGAACTAGCTCTTGTAGACCAGGCTGGCCTCCAACTCACACAGATCCACCTGCCTCTGTCTCTCAAGTACTGGGATTAAAGGCATGCACCACCACTACCAGGCTGAGCAAGTCATTTGGAACTTCCTTTTCTGGTGACACCTGGGGCCATCACGTTGGACCCAGTTCCCTCCAGCCTCGCATATTCCTGCACTAACATATCCAGGGACTTGAGACTTAGGGCACCTTGGCAGAGTCACTTTCTTTCTCGTCTCTCTATTTCCTCTGTAGACACACAGGGTCAGGAAACACAACAGGCCAAAGGATTGAAATCTGCTTTCAGTCAATGACCTGCTGTAGCACCCACACTGCCTTTGGGTTGATGGTTATAGAAGGTTTCAGAATTTTTGAGGACAATCAGCAAGATCTAGTTGTTAGATCACAGACCACTTACCTGTCCTCCCACTCCCTACCTCAATCCTTCCTTCCTCTTTTCCTCCCTCCATTCCTCCTTTCCTTCCTCCTAGCCTCCAAGCTGTCTTTGAGAAATCAGACCATGTGCCCATGCCTCTCTGGTCCCACCTTCTATTGCGGTGGGCTCTATTACCAAAGGATGTGAGAAGAACTTGTGAACCAATGTTTTTCCTTATTTTCTGTCATTCAGAGTCAATCAGATGCCTACTCTGAAATTGACTTTGAGCTCTGGCCAGGCTCCCCAGTCTCTGGGGACACATTATAAAATTGAGGGAATTTTTATTTCACTCTCTTATTCTCTCTCTCTTCCCTCCCCAGCTTTATCTCCTTCTGCCTTTCTGTCCATGGTGGCTGTCTATCTTACTATTTAGTTAGACTTTTTTTCTCAATGGATCTCCTCTCCAGGTCCTAGAGTGAAGCTTCCTTTAAGGCTCTGTCACATCACCTCTGAAGATCCTTTGTTCCCTGAGTGTTATTCTACCTTGAAGCCCAACCACGTCCTGCCCATGGTGACTTTCTCTCCTAACAAAGCTCATGCTAGAGGTTGATTTCCTGCCAGCTCCTTCCCCAAAGGCAGCTTTTCTTACACCAGCCTATGTTTAATGTGCTTCGATGGAACCTCATCTGACCCAGGTATCCAGCGGACAGAATCAGAACACACATTCCAGGAAACTGCTTGCCGGGTCACAGAAGCAGCCAGTAGCATATAAGTTTTAAGGCCAAAAAAGAGAAGGAATCAAGTTTCCAGTCATTCTGCAGTAGTCAAGCAAACCCGAGTTCAGTGACACCATAGAGCACTCCCAAAACTTGGCTTCCTGGAGCTAGGACTGAAAATACAATGCAGGCTTGTGTGTGTGTGTGTGTGTGTGTGTGTGTGTGTGTGTGTGTGTGTGT